TTCTTGTTCTTGCTCAGGCTGGTCTCAAACTCCTGAGATCAAGCAAGGAGTGAGACTCACTTCAGTCTCCTGGAATGCCAGGATTACATGTGTGAGCCACTGCATCCGGCCACAGTGAACAAATCCTTCAAGTCTCTCTTGGGCTGGAGAGTCAGATCCAGTGTTTAATGGGAAGACCAGACCGACTGAACACTGCTTCTATTGCAGTATGATGACCAGAGGCCAACGGCCTCGCATAAAGTGAGAAGCCCCCTCCCGGCCGGCGGCGAGTCTCAATGGAGGCCCACAGTTACGGGCAGGGAAAGAAGAATAACAAACCCCTGGCAATGACTGTCCCATGACAGGGAATACAGCCCTCAAGTTCTCAAAGATGAAGAAAGTGGACATGGTTGGTTTTGTTCTTTTCTTTGAGATAGAGTCTCACTATGTCATCCTTGGTAGAGTGCCATAGCATCACAGCTCACAGCAGCCTCAAACTCTTGGGCTTAAGTGATTCTCTTGCCTCAGCCTCCCAGTAGCTGGGACTACAGGCACCCACCACAACGCCTGGCTATTTTTTGTTGCAGTTGTCATTGTTGTTTAGCTGGTTCGGGCCAGGTTTGAACCCGCCACCCTCAGTGTATGTGGCTAGCACTGTAACTGGCTCTGCTACGGGCCCTGAGCCAATATGGTTGGTTTTGTAATTGTACATCCCAGAAGGTCATTTGTAGTTGGTGAATGTTGAGCAATTGGTGTCTGCCGAGGAAGAACTTTACCACCATTTAAACTGTAAGTTCCTTCATATCTTCAGCAAGTCTATTGTGGAGTCTGTGTGGGCCCCACATGTGGATGGAATACAGACAACTGGGGAAAAAAACCACTCTGGCCTCTCATTAGAGAAGGAAGGGCAGTCATTCCCCGTACTCAGAGCCTGTGCACAGCCACCTGCCTGTAGCTGGCCATCCTGGGCACATGTGTTCTGGGCTCTGCCTGTGCCCTCTGCCTGCCCCAGGTCTGGAGAGTCCCATTGTTAGGAGAATATTTTGTCTCCATCCAAGTAGGACCTCTGGGAATTTTTGTATTTTTTTATATGTTGAAACAGAAGCAATGCAGCCTCAGGTTATCGCCGTGGAATAAGAAGTGAGCCCTCCTCCTCCCAGGGTTTTCCACAGAAACACCTTTATGAAGGAGAC